TTCCACAGCCCCCAAGCCACGCGTTCCTCACCCCCCCCCCACCCCCCCCACCCCAAAACCACGCGTTCCAGTCCCCAAACCACGCGTTCCACAGTCCCAAAACCACGGATTCCTCAGCTCCTGCCCCGGCACGGGCGGCTGAGCTGAGGGGGCTGAGCTCGGAGCCTGGGGCTCCCCACGCCGGGACTTCGGCCAGGCCTCCGCGGGGGATGTGATCATCGTCTCCGAAAGCGATGCCGGAGCCCCTCAACCTCCCGCTCGGCCGGGGCCCTCCCGCTCGCCGCTCCCGCACCTTCCCCCCCTCCCCGAGCTCACCGGCTGCCGGCAGCAGGAGAAGGCCGAAGATGCAGGCGGTCAGCACGCCCGGACACAGAGCCATGAGGGCGGCAGCGCCCCGCGGAGCGCAGGGAGGGGCGGCCCGCGGGAAGTGGCAGCGGGCGGGACGGGGCGGAGCAGATACCAGCGAAAGGCTTCTTTCCCCATGAGGGGGACACCTCATCGCAATACATTTAGGTTGGAAAAGACATGTGAAGATCATCGAGCCCGGTCTGTGACTGATCACCACTATGTCAACCAGACCATGGCACCAAGTTCCACATCCAAGCTTGCCAAGGTGCTTGTTCCCTGAATGAATCACTTCTGTCAAACTAATGGACTTATGTCGTGCCCTGGCCTTGGAAGGCCATGCAAAATACAGTAAAGCTGGTGAGAAAATCCAAAAGCATCAGTTTGGCTTGGGAGGTGGCTGGTAAAAGAGGATCACTGGGGACACTCCAAAGGTAGGAGCTGAAGGAAGCAGTCACTCCCAGCAGTGTCCTGCACCTAGTATTGTAATGTGTCTGGGCAGTTCAGGTTTCTATCCTGATCCTGAATTGCATTTGAGACATGAATTCTGCAAGGTTGGATTTCACATTCCTTTTCCCCGTTCTGCTTGTACCTGAAATATTGTGTGGTTGCTGTCCAGGCAGGTTCAGTAGTGGTCTCTGATGCTACCCAGGGGTAACATTCCTGCTGCCTGGCCATGCCACCTGAGCCCACAGCCTGGTCTGCCTTCCCCTGGGGACTACTCCTGCCTCTGGATCAAAACCTGTGCTGCAGCACTGTTGCTGAAGAACACCAGGATTGATGAAACAGACCCCTTACTGGCTGCCCAGTAAGTTTCTGAGGGTAAATGGCCTCTGCTCTATACTCCCCTCTGGTTGCTTTTTTTTTTCACAAGATATCCTCACAGGCCTTCCAGAAGGTGTCTCAAGGAGAGACTTCAGTCTCCTGTACCCTACCTACTTCCTAGCATATTGCAGAATCTCTCCCTCACAGGAGAGGAAGCTCAGAAGTGTTAGGAGATTACTTGGGAGCATTGGCAGAGGTAAATGGTCAGCAATCCAGAGGCTGGCACAGGCCTCTTCCGCACAGAATCCCTTGTTTATTTTAAGTAAATTCTTCAGTTTGGATCCAGTTGAAGAGCCAGGGCAGTTTCTTGACCACGTGTTAGATAACAGGTACAGTGTATGCCAAAGCCTTCAGTAGGCCCAGACTTGTCACTAGGAGGAAGGTCTCCCAAGTTCAAGAGCTTTCCCAAAGCAGTTTCTAGGAAAAGACTATCTCTTGAGCTTCACCAGTGCTATAACCAAATGCATGTATGAATTGTGGGTTGTTTTCCATACCTGACCTGAAGGTTGTATGGGTTGTATATGAGCTCAAGAACTGTATCTAGTAGGTTGTTGTCTTATTTGCAGACAAGTAAACAGAGACCGAAGTGGAGAAATTCTGTTGCTTTCCAGAAGTGAATTGTTCAGCAAGTCTATAGCTCCACTGTGCCCCAGTGTCTCGTGTTAAGATGGAAAGAGTGACTGAATTGTGTGGTGTTGTGATTTCCCCATACCTTATGAGAGTGAAAGCTTGCAAAGTTATTATTTCCCAGGCAGAAACCTTTACATTTTGATGAGTCTACCGTAAGAGGCCTGGGTTTAAAAAGCAAGGAGAAGCCACACAAGTTCAAAGATCAGCACACAGAGCATTTTGTTTCCAGTGGCCCAGTGTAATGGTCCTGTGGCCAGATACTTTTGTCAGGCCTCAGAGAGCCTCCCAGTGCACTTTACAGTGCCAGTGAAGTGGGGTCAGGGCCAGCACTGGGGGACAGTGCATGGCAGGTCCTGCAGAGGCATCTGGGCTGGCTGTGGGGATTCTGGGCCCAACGCTGCAGGCTGGAGCACTCTTGGATCCACATGGGCCCAGGGGTGCTGGAGTGTCTGACATTTTCTGGATCTGGGGAGACATAAGAGGACCCTGGCGGTGCTGGGGCTGCTAGAGATGGGTGTGTGCGAGCTGTGGGGGTGGTGCAGCTCTGGCACAGGTTGCCCAGAGAAGCTGAGGCTGCCCCTGGATCCCTGGAAGTTCTCAAGGCCAGACTGGTCTCATAGGAGGTGTCCCTGCTCATGGCAGGGAGGTAGAATTAGATTATTTTTCAGATTCCTTACAGCCCAAATTATTCTGTAACTATGTTTCTATCTTGAAAGTGTCAGATGCTCCAGCCCATGCTCCCTGTGCCCACGAGGATCCAAGACTGCTCCCACTTGCAATGTTGGAGCTAGAATCCCCACAGCCAGTCTGGACACTGCCACAGGACCTGCTGGGGACCGTTCCCCAGTAATGGCCCTAATCCCACTCCAGAAGCACAGTAAAGTGCACTGAGAGGCTCCACACTCATGTGTCGGCTTCCTCCTCCTCCTCCTCTCTCCCAAGGGCAGCATTCGTGGTCGGGGTCAGAGGGTTGTTGTCTCCCTGAGGGTCGGCAGTACCTGCCCAGGCCTCCCTCGTGCCACTTGCCTAGCTCCACGGCCGAGAACTTCACGTCTTGGGGACCCCGACCCTGCTCGGTTTCCTAGAGAGAAGTTCACACAAGCACCGAGGGGGTCTCTGCCCTCTGTCCTTCCCCGGGGCAGGGCACCGCGGCCCGGCCCTGCCCGAGCGCGGAGAGAGTCCCACCCGTCTCCCGGCAACGCGTCCCGCCCGCCCGCCATGGCCCTCGCGGGTCGCCGTAGCGGCGGCGGCGGCGGCGCGGCCGGGCCGGCGGTGAGTGCGGCGGCCGCGGGGCCCGGTCGCGGCAGCGCGGGGGCTCCCCCGGGGGCCGCGGGGGTGCTCGGGCCACGGCCAGCTCGGATAGTGCCGTCCGGCTATGCGGGAAGCGCCCGATCGAGGGGCGGCCGCGCCCCACGGGTTGTAGGCAGGTGTAGGGGGTTCTCGGGTTTGGGGTGTTTGTGGGCATGGAGGGTCCTTCCGGGTCTGGGGGTGTCTGTGGCTGCAGGGAGTGCCGCCCCGTTTAGGGGGTGTCTCTGGGTTATGGGGCGCCGCTGGGCTCGGGGCGTGCTGCCCGCCTCGGCTGCGGGGTGAGCCCGGTTTTGGGGCTGTTTCCTGGGTGTGAGCATGGTGGTGCTGCCCGGTGGTTGTGAGTTTGGGGTGTCGGCAGGGTGCGGTGCCACGGGGACCCACGCCTGGGATGAAGGCAGGGCAGTTTTATGCTCCATGTCGGGCTGTGCTGTTTCTCTTTGCCTGCTGCGAGTCTCAGGGCTTTGCCGGCAGCTGCGAGACAAAGTTATGTTGGCCGGCCTGGCTTCTCGGCCTCCTCGCCGGCTTCCACCTCAGATCAGGCTGCTTCTGTGTTGTGTGTTCTGCCCTGCTGCTGGAAGCTGCTTGCTTTTGCCAAGAGAAGGGAGTTCAGCCCGGGGCCAGGCTCAGAGCAGGGCGTCTTTGCTTCTGTGAATGGCTTCTGGGGCAGATGTATGTCCCCCGGCTCTGTCCTTTCTCAGACCTGTTGAAAGCAACATTTGCTCCAACTGAGCAAACACTCTGGCACTGCAGCAGTGCATCTCATATGGTGCCAGTGTGGCGGTGCTGCATACTCTGTTTTAGGCATTCAGACTGTTTCAGCAGCCCTGGTGACCAGAGTGGCTGCCTTTTAGGAGAGCCGTGGGCACTCCTGACTGCCCTCGGGTGTTTTTAACTTGTCCTGGCTGAGGTGAAATCATGTCATGTGTCGAGTACTTTTAGGATAGTCCACATTGTGCTGTCTGCTCTGCTTTGGTAGTAAACGATGTGTTTCTCTTTATTGTTTTACCTCTTGTTTTGAGTTCCTGACGCATCATTCAGGGCCTTTGATCCAGGCTGGTTTTTTGCTTTGTTCCCTCTATTTTGCTCAGCAGTGCTGCAGGAGGGAGGCCGGGCAGTGTTGCTCCACTGCTGCCTGCTGGGGTGGTCCTGAGAAAAGGGGCTTTAGGAAACCCTTTCCCAAATCGAGCTGAAGCTCAGGTGATTTGGAGTTGCTGTGGTACTTGTGTCACTTGGCGCTCCTCCTCCAGAGTCACTAACTTTTCTTGGGTTCACCTTAGTTTCTGCTCTGCATGAGATTACCAACAAGCATTTAATTCCTGCAGCTTTTGCTCCTGTTACATCTTCCTGTTGCTCTGTGTGTGACAAAGTGCTTTGACAGATGGATACCCAGGGAGAGTTGGCTATTGGAGCAGTTGGAAGCAGGAGAGGGGAATGACCTAACATTTGGAAGCTGGATGGAATTAGCCACTTGAATGTATTCTTTTTGTCCTGGCACATGTCAGCTCTGATAGTATTCTAGTGATACCAGGAAGGCTCCTGAGTCTGTAGTCCCGTGGTAGATTTTCACTTGTAAACACTATTGTATATTACCTGTGTCTGCTTTTTTCCCCGTGACTCTGACAGCTGGGTCTTTCGCTTTGTAGTCAGTGATATTCTATCATAGTCCAGTCCATCTGCATTTGTCTCATTCCTTCTTCCTCTCTCTTTGTTTTGGGTAGTGGAATAATCTAAACACCTGTTGAACAGAAAATTAACCAGACTCATGTTGCTATCCTAAGGAATAATACAGAGTGTGAGAGAAAGGCAAAAGTGTTTGTCAGGACATGAGCAGCATTGCGGTTCCCAGTTTCAGCAGTGTTTGGCAGTGGTGGTGGCTGTGGTCCTTTGCTGGCTCAGTGCTTCTGGCCCAGGCTTGGTGTGAAGGTTGCCTGTGTTTCTGGCTTGGTTGTGCCTGTGCCTTTGTTTGGAGTGGGGTTTTTGTGGCTGTCTGGAGTGTAGCTTAATGCTTTGGGAAGGTTTTAAGCAGTTGGACATCAGTGGGACTAAGAGCAGGGTCAGCAGTTAGCTGGTTTGAGGCTCTTGTGTAATGTCATTAGGACATGCAAGGACTGTGGCTATTTTTTGGTTTATCCCTGCTGTTTAATTCAGGTAAAGCAACCTCCAAGAAAAGGAGAAATTTAAAGGCACCATCCTCCCCAGAAGGTTTTGTTCTAGGCGTCTGTCCGTCTTATGTCTGCTCTGGAAGTGGTGCCTGTGAAGAATGACGTCGAGAGGTTCTGGGACTGCTTTCTCAAGGAAGAAT